ACCTGACAACAACAACAACAACAAGGGAGGAAGATAAGTCGTGTACAACTGTTGTGATAAATGATTCAACCGAGGCTCCAAAAACCAGAATACAGGGGAAAGCCTGGTTTAATCTGACTCAGTTGCAGCTCAGTAGAGTGGATTGTGGTGAAGCAAAGCAAAATAAAAAAACCGGTTTGAGAGAATCTAGAAAACCAGAAAGACTGAAAAGAGCCATTAGAACTAGAATTAGAGTGATACTGTAGGATAAGCACTCAACCTCAAGGTCGGTGTGAACCAACTGCTCCTCAGAAACGCTATACAGAGTCGCTATGGGTCAGAACCGACTTGACAGCACTTAACAACAGCAACATGGACAGAGTGCTTTTGAGCAGGAGTCTGAAAAGATTATCTACCACCAATCAGACTGTAAATTCTGTGAAGACAAGGGTTGGGTCTTTCTCGATATCAGTTCTATCCCAAGAACCTGGCACATTGAAGGTATGCAATAGGCATTTGTTGAATGAGTAAATGTAGACATTAAAGGAAAATAAATGTTTATAAATTATGTAAAGCAGAAACCATGCAAAATTTTGTGTTGATGAGTTTTAAGATGTTTTTTGTGGTGGAAAATTGCAACTGTACACAAAGTAGAATAGTGTAATGAATCTCTAAGCATCCATCACCCAACATCCACTTTCATCACCATTATTAATCTTGTTCCACCTATCGCCCATGCTGCTTTTGTTGTTGCTGGGGTATTAAAACAAACTTCAGACATGCAATTTCATTGATAAGTGTGTCAGACTATGACTTTCTGCTCCCGTAAAGATTTATAGCCTCAGAAACCCTGTACAGGGTCACTATGAGTTGGAACTGACTCCACAGCACACAGCCACCACCACCAAGTATGGTGCTGTGGGCTAATGCGCTGAACTGCAAAGTTGATTTGAATTGCAAGACCACGGTTTAAACTCACCAGTTGCTCCAATAAGGGTCACTATGGGTAAAAACCAATTTGATGGCACTTAACAACAACAGACCACGGAGCGGTGGGGTGAGAGGTGTCTGGAGACTAGGTCAATGGGGGACACTACCTAGCGGGAAGAGACTGGAGCAGCCAGCCAGCTGTCCTACTTAACCCCGGACGCGAGGGCGCCATCCTGGCCTAGCCGTTGCATTCTGGCGTTGAGGC